CTGCTCCACCAGCCAAAGACCTTGCCTGTCTTACTGCTCCTCGAGCACTTGAGTGAATTCCAGTGGAGGGTTGTAGTCTTTGTGTTGCAGCATCTTTCTGGAGAGAGATTAAACCACTTTGGGACTCAAAAACAGTTACTTAGGTGGGAGTCCTGAGTGCAGGGTTGGACTCTGTTTTGATTTCCACATTCTGTGGGCACCTGTAGCAAAACAGATTCCTTGGGATAATCCCTCCACTGTGTGGTGATCTTCCCTACATCTGCAGCCAATAGTCCGTGTCTTTCCTTAGACAGCAGTACAGGCAGTGGGTTTGCTTTGAAGACTGCTTTTTATGGAGGGATGGAAATGCACTTACAGAATGTCTGAAATGAATAAAAGTTTAAGTAACCTTGGTAGAAAAATAACTCTTTCTCAATTACATAGTACACCTTCAGTAGATCTTCCCTGTTTTTCATCTGTCAGGTCTAAGTCTTGTGGCAATGTACCTCAGTGACATCACTCCTCATTGACAGCACAGCTATGACTCGGAGCTTCGTCAGAATTGTTTCTGCTAGTCACTTTGTGGTGATTGCCTTCTTTTTCTTTTTGTTTCAAGGCTTATTTGTTTTTTCTCTGTTCAGCATCATTGCATCCTGGCAGCTGAGTTGCAAGAAGATTAGATTATTTTTTAAACTTTTTTTGTCCTGGAACGAGTAAATGCATATGCACACTCAAGCTGTCTGCTGTCATCTGTTCCATGGGAGCAGACCTGAACCTTCTGACTTTGAGGGCTCAGCGTTGAATCTGCCTGGAGATGACCCAGCCTCAGCAGTTCACCCCTTATAGTTCTCATGAGGACTACTGGTCTTTTGCCTGTCCCAATATCAGGGCCACATCTGGCACTTTCTTAGCTCCATCTAATGCTACTAATGCTACAACCCCCCAAAATGTTTTCTTTGTGCTCTTAGCTTTGGTCTATTGCTGTATTTTCATTTACACAGTCCCCTAATTGCCTTTAGTTTTCTTGCCCCCCACTCCAAAACTGCCAGTGCTTCTTGTGTTCAGTGAATCCCAGTTGGTATCATAGAATTTACAGATATGTGCAGCATTCATTTAATTTATGACTGGTATGCAACGTTTTTTTGGAGTTCATGTCAGGCTTGTCTTCAGAACAAGATGAAGTTAGAGATGATGCATCTGGTTGTTGATGTGGGGTTGTGGTTTTATTTCACCTGCTCATCCTCTGTCTCTGTGTATACAGTAGGGTTTCTGCCACTACATGTGGATTAACAATTTATGTTTTGTTTCACTCTTCCAAAATTACTAATCAAACATTTTAAATGTTAAATCAGATTTTGGCCCCTATGATGCAAAACATCTAGAGCAAAACCCTAAGAGTGCTTACAGCTTCCATTTCAAAGATGTGGTGGTGGTAGGGAATGCAGCCCTTGGCTGCAGCAGCTCTACTAGGAAGGAATTTGTTCAACTGTGTAGATGCAGGTATATTTGGAGAAGAGCTGTTGGACCATTTCATTAAGCAGCTGTTATCCACAGAACCTCAGGCAAGTAAAAAGCTGGATTGTAAGGTTTGGGTCATATACCTTTATGTGAAACTCTATGCTTTGCTTGTCCATAAAGGAAGTTCAGTGCCATGATTTAAATGTGAACCTTGTCCCTGTGACCTGACACACTGTGTAACTTTGATCTGTGATACAGCAGTTTCTTGGTGTGCCAGCAGTTCAAGACATAGGACATGCAAATACAGTCCTTTCATTCCACTGAATTATGAATGAAGAGTTGTACCTTCTAAATCATAAATCCCATTGCAGACAGTTTTGAAAGAGAGACTGAATTCTTGGTGAAGTTGCAAATTAGCAAAGCAACTAATTATGTCTTGTTCTGTGTCATAGGTTAACTTTTGATCAATTAAAAGAACATTGCCCTAGGGAAATGCAGTTCTTGGGATCACCACTTATCTGTGAAAGAGGGAAATTGACTTTAGGAAAGTCTTCTGGAGATGGGTTCAATCCAGTTCTGATTGATAGTAAGGCTCATTCTGCTTCAGCTGGCATTGGGCCTTGTAAAGCAAAGCCAAAGCATGAGTTCAATTTAAAGAAAATGCATATCAATTCAATAAATATATGTGCATGTACTTAATTATGGGTTTTTTTTAATGAACCAGGGTCTTAATTCTGCTGTGATTTGCCGTCAGGCAGTGAGAGATAGCACATCAAAGACTTATTATACTTAAGCTTGCATGTTAGTCCTTTAATAAGCTGATTTTGTTGCTGACATTTGCCAACTAATAAATACAGCATTTGTAAGTAAGTTAATTATCATGTAATTTGGATCAATATTGTCAGGAGTTTTCTTGTTTTTCCGTGGTACATTGAATCAAGAACAAGAGATCAGCAGAGCTTTTGCTGTAGCCTGATGGCAGTATCAGCAAATGGAATGCTCACTCTTGCAGTCCTTTTTGGTGCTGCTATCAAGTGGTGGGGAGTACAAACAGCAGGTTGGCATCATCCTTGATTCCAGCCTTGATTCCAGGCTCCTGTGTATGGGTACATTTGTCCATTCTCACAGGCACACAGAATAAAGCACCTGTTTGGTTTTATGAGTAAAAAGTGACGAAGTTACCAGTGTTATGTCTCAAAGGGTTGTGAGGGTTGAGGTACTGGTTTACTTTCACAGATCCACCAGCAAATGCAGCGCTCAGCCTGGTATGAGCTGGCTCAGAAAGCCTAAGGACTGCCAGGAATTGGAGCCACCAGAGACTCCTCCATCATTGTTTTCAGCCATTTGAAAGTTCAGTCACCTGACACTTCTCTTTGATGGCCTGTTTGTTTGTCAGTCAGTGGTCTCAGGAGCTTCATAAATATTCAGCAGTGTAGCCTTGCTGCCTTCCAGCTGGTGCTTTAGCCTTCTTTTGCAGGAATAAAAGCTAAGCCATTGAGACTTCAAAAATGGTGCTGTCTCGTAACCTGGATAACTTAAAGATAAAAAATAGATTGAGGTACTATATTCCTCTACAGATGCTCATTTAATTTTGGTGGCTTAAATGACCATAAATATATATTTTAAAATAGCAATTTCACATCTTTTCTGGCTCTGGAGAAAACGGGTGCAAAATAAGCAAGGCAAGGGTGGGCATGGGGGAGGTGTGTGTGCAGTCTCTGTGATGTCTCTGTTTAAGTTTTATTTCAGGTGAAGCTCTTGGGGCTCTGGGAAATGGTGCCTCCACTCCCCATCCTGTGTGTGGTCAGATGTAGGTGGACTGACATCTGGACTGACAGAGTCAGTGTGTGGAGGCAGAGATAAAGATTGTTCACATTCCTAAAAACCTTCTTTTTATTTCTGTCCTAATGGATTCAAGAAGGGCTTCTAGATTTATGGTCTCTGTTTCTTCCCTGCTCTTCTGGCCCAGCAAAATCCTTTCTGTGCAGCATCAGCCAAGAGGGCAAGTACCCATCACCATGGATGAAGTGCTCCAACCAAAGCTCATTGAAGAGCAAAGGGGTACCACGACCACTGGTGTAACAGAAGGCAGCAGCTTCCAGCCCATTTTTTAAGGAGCTTGAATCTGTCCTTGATTTCAGCATGTCTTGAAAGCTCCTGTAGGGTTGAACCACTGTGGAAACATGGAGGAGGAATACCTAATTTCTTGGTCCCAAGGGGACTGAAGTTAATGCTGACTTGCTAAGTCTTGTTGGTAGCTATGTGAGGTTTGGTAGCTTAGAATATGAGTAGTTGTCAGGGTCTTGGGAATCTTTAAAGAAGAAAAATTGCAGATGGGTCACTTTCAGGTTCAGTGACAGAAAAGTGGGTGTTTTCTGTTTTGGCATGAACAACTTCCCTGATCTGAGTCTCAAACTGGGTGCCCGAATCTGTTAATGAACCTTGTCATGATGATCATGTCAGATCATCATCCTCCAGCTTGCCTGAATAAATCCTACTTGTCATCACAAGAGCATGTAACTGTTCTCACTTGCAAAACAAGTGATTATGTATCCATAGATCATCCTCCTCTGGCCCTAGTTAGAGGCTGAAGCCAATGTGACAATGTATTTTCTGGGTGAAGCCTTGTTAATTGAGCATGTAAATGTGTAATTGTCTGTACAGTTATTCAATTGACATGGTTTTAGTTTGCATACAAATATGGGAGTACAGTCATGCAACTGAGCAAACTGTCCAAGATCAGATACTTAAATAAATATGTGCATTCTGCACACAGATGTGAACACCCTTAAAAAGATCAATCCAGTTGCAGTCACTTCCTTTTTCTTTTTTGTTCAGAGGTTGCCTTTAATGTTATGTGCTTGCTTTTTGTGAAGTGGTACCTCATGCTCACAATCATTGGTGCTGTAATACTTTCGAAAATGTGCGTACAAAATATTAATTTGAAGTGTGGGGGATTTCTAGAGGAAAGCCTGCTTTAATAATGGGGTGTTCTAGAGGAAAGCCTGCTTTAATAATGGAAGTTGTTGGCAGTTGCAGTCCAGTGCAACTTCTGAGAAGAAGAAAAGGTCATGAAATTTGCAAGTAAAGGTACGATTTGAATTTTCTCTGCACTCAGTGGTTTCTCTGCTTGGAAGCTGCTGATTTCAAAGAAAGGGTGATCTGGCAGTTTTGTTCCAGCAGTCATTGTCTGTTCCAGTGAATAAAACTCCAAACATCTGTTGGGGGTCTGCAGTGTTCATTTACTGTGAAAGAAAACACAGTGATGCAGCTTTTCTTTATAACCTGTCCTTTTTTATGGAGAACTGAACGCCATATTTGGTCTTTTTGAGGTGGTTTGAGGTCAAGTATGTAGGAAGATAGTTTCAATAACAAAGAAGAAGTTCCTGAATGGGGATAGAGCTGTGCCATGTATATGACTGACAGCTTTATCCAGCCAAGGGTAGTCTGTTCTCAAAATAATGCTTTGGTTGGGGGTGTGGATGGTGTCAGGGTTGGGGATGCCATTATAATCTGAGTGACAACCACTCCTCTAACACCCCTGTCTCTTTATTTCTCCACAGATGTCGCTCCTATGAGGATTGCTGTGGCTCAAGATGCTGTGTAAGAGCTCTCTCTATCCAGCGACTGTGGTATTTTTGGTAGGTCCAGGTCATTTGGGAATTCTGTGTTTGTCCTCATCCTGTTAGTTGGACTTAAATTAGGATATTGCCAGCCTCAGTGTTTTAAAGTACAGCAGGTGCAAGAATGTAGGAAGGTATATGTGTACATGGAAATGCATGAATTTTGTTTTTTTGTTAAAATTCTCCTGATGCAGTAAGAAAACACTGAAGAAGGAGGTTAATCGTGTCAGGCTGACCCTTCCTGCTTCTGCATCCTGCTGCTTTGTACAAGCAGCGGTTCCACTTTTATCCAGAATTGTTGAATTCCTTATGTCTGTCCCAGCTATTACCAAGCAACAACATTCTTCCTGTTTTTTTGGCACTCAGTTTTAAAAGTGGATCGTAAAAGCAGGATTGTGCCTTTTAGGCAGGGTTTAATATATTCTTGCTGCCAGCTGAATTGAGGCTTCAATTAAAAAACAAGAGAAGTACATTTATGACTATGAGGATTTCACTGGAGATGACAGCAAAGGAAAAGAAGGCAGAAAGATTGAGCTTGTGAAACCAGCAGCTCAGTAATCTGGATAAAGCTTAAACTAATCACTGTTTTATGCATAATGAAAAAATAAGGTGAATTCCTTTTGGTGTGGAATTTAAGAAAGCACCTGTATAAAACAGTCATTACAGTCAAGAGAAAGCAAAGACCCTCCTAGAAAACCTGATTTCAGGCATTTTAATGTGGAATTTGAAAACTGATTTTAAAAAAAGCCTTCAAAACTGAAACAAATAAACAGTGAAAAACAGAAGCCTGATACATACTATAATACAGAGATTTCCCAAAGCTGACTGTGGGATTTCAGTGTACAATCCTTACTGATATAAGTGAAGAGCTCTCTATCTCAATCCCTGGGGTGACGTAGTAAATCTCTGTTTTTCTGTTCAGAAAAAAATCCTTTGCAGGAACACTGCCAAAGGGGAATGTATTAATATTGGTTCAGGGAAAAGGAACCCCCTTCTGCTCTCATTTCTGATGTAGAAACAAGAACAGAGTTTAAGCCTTTGCATGAAATAACTCTTGCTGCCATGCTGTGCCTCACTCTTCCTCTGAGCCACCCGGGAATTCTCCAGAGGAGATAAGCATGGTGTGTATGCTTGCCTCTGGCCAGCTTCCTTGCCTTCCAAAAAAGCACAGTTGTCATTATCTTCCAGTAAGAGGCCATGAAACAAGACAGCAATTACAGGCAGAAGAACCATTCCTATTTACAAGAGCCTGCATGAGTCACTGGAGTGTCTGATGACTGATGAAGGAAACACAGTGAAAGGTGCTGTCCGAAGAACAGAATCTGATGTGCCCTTGCTGCATGTTCCTGTTTCCACTGCACCAGGGCAAGGAGATAATGAGGACAGTTTAGTTAGGTTGGAAAAGATGCTGAGAGGAGGTGAATGGTAGGTAAATTATGTCTTTTTTATGGAGAATGTAATATCCCATGTAGGAAGCACAATGCAAGGTTTGTCGCCATCAGTAGTGAATGCTTCAGTCTTCCAGCTTGAGCTTAAATGCCAGCTACCATATTTCCCATGGGAGATAAAATTAAAATGTTGAGTTAATCTGAGAATATCCAAGATTCTTCTTCTAATGCCAAGAATAGTATTCCTCTCTGTACTCCACAAACATACTGAGCAGCCTAGATGCTGTAAGCCTGGGGCTTGCATCCAAGATGTGCAGTTTGAAATTGTGGCCTGGAATTTCAGTTTAGCATCCCAGTGGGGTGCTAAAGAAAGAGTGGCCAAGGTCAGGTGTGAACCTGAACTTTTGAAAAGTTCAAGTGTGCTCTACCTCTGGGTTACATGCCAGAGAACATTGAGTATAGTATTAATCACTGAAGATGTCCCTAATATATCCCTAAGTGCTTCACGAGTGCTATCCCAAATGGCAGACCTTCTCTCAAGAGGCAACCTATTTAAGAAACCCTGCTAAAAGTTGTAGGCTGATGTATTCTCAGTGAACAGTCTAGATTTAAGTGCTGCCTGAATGTGCAGGTTTTGACCTCCCTCTTCTTTTTGCCTAGGTTCCTTTTGATGATGGGGGTTTTGTTCTGTTGTGGAGCTGGTTTTTTTATCCGAAGGCGGATGTACCCTCCTCCATTAGTAGAAGAACCTACTTTTAACGTGTCTTACACCCGACAGCCAGTCAACACTGCATCAGGTCAGAGACTGCTCATGCAAGTTTCACTGGTTTCTTACTTTGGCCAAGGCACTAAAAAAGTGTGGGTTTTGAGCTTTTGTTTCATTGGTTTTTGGAAACTGTGTGATTTGTACAAGAGATTGCACTACACCTCCTGCAGTAAGTGATGTCTTCAGCCTTTCCAACAGCATAGTTCAGCTGCAGTGTACAGAAAGTGGTTTTGAAACACATGGGATGATAGAATTTTCAGTTCTGTTTTGGTTCCTAACACCTTTACAGGTCTGTGTCCATGCTGGAAGGAGGTTAGCGAGCTCTCCCTTTGCAGTGCAGACAAAATGATAGGTGTCCAAATTCAACAGTCACAGGAAGAAAGAGTTTTAAGTACAATTGATAACATGGCAGAGGTGAAGGAAAGCCTAGCATTTTCTTCCACAACCTGGCCATCCTGCAAGTATTTTTGATTTGCCTTCAATATTCCATGCTGCAGTCTTTCTGTGGCAAAGTGGTTTTTTTGTCCTTGTTAATCTGATTTCTTTCTCTCTGGTGAGTAATAGCTGTGAGCATCAGGAGGACCTACCTAGTGAGGGCTCCTCTGGCAAAATTGCTTTCTAAGTTTGTATTTCTTCCCCTCTGGTAGCTAGTTCCAGATGGGAACTCTCCTAGGCCTGAATGGTTAAAAAGATGTTATAGATACAAACTGACACTTTACTCACCTCCCTTGTTTAAATCCTAGGGGTTTTTTTAGGGCTCCCATTCTGCATCTGTTTTCCTCCTTGACTGAACAGAGAGTATTTTGCAGCTGAGGGGGAGCCAATCCAACTAGACTAATATTTTTTAAACCTGAAAATAGCTTTGAGTTTATGTGAACAGGGAATGTCTTTGGCTGTATTGATAAACACCAGATTTAAATATAGAGCACAGTTTTACTCGTTCATGGTGCTTCATGGAACATAAATTGTGGGGAAATAGAAAATAAGCACAAGCTCTTTGATGACCTGATTATGGCACTTACTTCCAGACTGTTACCACTGTTACTTAAAATTTAAGCTCTGGGCTCTAAGCTAACCCCACCATTTATTTTATTTTTTAGTTTTAGTTTTTCTGCTATTCTAGAAATACTTAACAGTGAAAGCAATGAGAATTAGTAGTCAAGCAAGTTCATATTTTCCATTAGTTACTCTTCTAGGTTTGGTACCAGTAGCCAATTCACTATTGAGGTGGAGCCCTCAAGATGTGGCTCATTGCCTGTTTCCCTCCTTCCCTGCAGAGATAGCAGCAGCATCTTTTGCCATTCCAGCAGCATCTGCTAGGAGTGCTTTTCTGGGAGCCTGACTGGGAGAATGGAAGTGGAAGATCCCTTAGAAATTGTGTCATCATTGGAAATGCAGAGTGGCACCAAAAGAAGAAAACCTTTTGCTCAGTCATGACTTTTTTCCCAGTCCGTCTTTATTTAAACAGAGAGAAAGAGAAAAAAACTAACATCTTGAGATAGTTTGTGACTTCAGTTGCATTAAGTCATCTTCCACCACCCACTGTGATATCTGAGGAGGGTTATACACCAGCTTTGTTCTTATGACAGCAATCTCTGCTACTCCTTGTGTCATAGCCAAGGAATTTTGTGTTTGGCCATACATTTCCTTTCCTTGTCCCTGCAGGCTCCGATGTCATTTCCTAAATTGAATCTATGCAAAGCAATCTTGTCCCATTGTGTTAGCCAGCAGTAAATGATTACAGCTTGGGTCTTTGCTTCATGCAGGTTCACCTCTAAACTGTATCGTGCATAGGAGGGAAATTATCCATCTGAGCTTCACTCTGGTTTATCAGCAGATCCAGGACACCACAAAATAATCTCTGATGTCCTTTTGTAAGACTTGACGTCTGAGTCAGGGCCACAGTACAGACTCCTTTGTCCATCTGGGATCCTACACCTCTCTTCTCTGCAGACAGAAAACCTTTCCTGTCAGAGCAACTGGACAGGGCTTACTGTTTTCCCTTTCAAACAGTAGTTGCTCGGGGCAGTGGTGCCCTTTGTTTCACTAAGTGATTTCCTTTGGATGCAAAACTGAAACTTTCTGGTAGCATCTGAAGAGGTGAATGCAGTCCTGCCAGCCTGTTTATTTTCTGGGAGAAAAATACTCTTGTCTTTGCTCTGAGGAATGCTTTGAAAAACCTTGTCTGAGTACACAGAGCACAGGCCCTGAGAGAGCACAACCTGATGCTTCTGCTGTTGCTGATACCTTTTCTGTCTTTTTCTTTCTTTCAGGGTCACAACAACCTGGAGTGCCGTATTACACAGATCCAGGTGGACCTGTGATGAATCCCATGGCTATGGCTTTCCACGTCCAGCCCAATTCCCCACAAGGAAACCCGGTTTACCCACCCCCACCTTCCTATTGCAACACACCACCTCCCCCCTATGAGCAGGTGGTGAAATCCTCCACGTGAGGACTCTGCCTCTCTGACCTGACTGTGTGAGAAGAAGGTGCAATTGCAAAATGACCAAGATGGAGGGCACCTGCCCTTTTGAACACTTGCTAGTTCTCCAAGTCCTCTCTCCTTCCCTTCCCTGCACCTTTCCTCATTAAATTTACTTGCAAAGGGGTGATTTTTAAATTTTTTCTTTTTCCTTTTTTTTTTTTTTGTAATGCTTTTAATGGAAACCTATATTTAAAACCTGTATGTCTTTCTCTTTATTTATTGTTCGTTTCAATCAAGGTTTCAATTGCGTTGTGGCAGGTTACTGATAGCAGTTCTTGCAACCCCAGAGTGGTGTGCAGCCTCCTAAGACCCCACAGCAGAAATGCCCTCAGCTAAGGGAGATGACAGAGAAAAAGAATAAAGGGAGAAGCAGCAGGGCAATGATTTTACCAAAAATTGTCACTACTGTCTTTTGCTTTTATTAATTTCTTTTAAAATTTAATCCTGATGTATAAGAGAAAGATGCTCTGACAAAAGTCACTGTGACCAGTGTACCAGCATTGGTTGACTCATGGCAGGGGCTCTGCCAAGTGCCCTAGGAAAGAGGGACTTATTACTTTAAATGATGCATCCAAAATTAAGGACTGGGACTTGAGTTTCCTGTCCATCCCCTGGGCTTTGCCTCTGTGATCAGTATCTTGGCTCTTCTTGTTTTACCAGCACTGAGATTGTATGAAACAGACAATGACCTGGATGTTGGCACAAGAGGAGGGTGTTACAACCTCAGAGCTACTTGTGCCTCTTGACACAACACTTGGAAACACTGAAATACTAAGGTTTTTTTTCCCTAAATTGGAAAATACTTGCAGTAAGAAGGGATGGGAGCATAGATACAAGTTTACTCCCTTTCACCTTGATGGGAGTTTAGTCCCTGAGAAATATTATTTTTCATTACAATCTTACTGCTGCCACAAAGAATACCAAGTAAGGCTGTCATCTTAGGTGACAGATCTGTAAATCTGCTCTCCTCTCTAGGTCAGAAAGATAATCTTTTTGGACAGGTTCTTAATAGCATTTTTTGACCTGATGCACAGATGGTTTGGCTTTCAGTACCTCTTATTTCAATATCTCATGCATTTTGTTGTGAGTACTCATGACCAACCCTCTGTGTGACCACAAACAAACATATTCACATAAACCTTTGCCTGTTTAGGGCTCTCACACCCATCCGTGTCGAGCAAAAAACTGAAGTTGCTCTGAAACATGAGTTTGTACTAATGAGACCTTCTCCCTTTGTGCATATTCAGTCATACCACTGAACAGTGACAAGAAGATGCCATTGCCTCCTGCTGCTGAAGGACCTGTAAAAATAACAGCTGAGGGTTTGGAGTCCCATGTGGTTTTTTAGGTACCAGGTGAATGCTCCTGTGTGATGCCAGTTAGGGTACAGAGGTCACACTGAGGTGGTTTGGAATAACCTGAAGTTGCACAGGGAGCCAAAGATTTATTGTGCTGTTGTTCTGTGCTACTGGCTTCTGAGAACTCGTTTCTAGGTAGCAAGCTGGATTTGCAAAACATCCCTTTTGCTGTGAATATGAGTGTCTCACAGAAAAACTTGTAAGGGCCACTGTTTCTGCTGATGGAGTCAGTAGCCATCTGGAGAAGACCTAGCACTGGAGAAGTTCATTCCTGCATACCTGACTTGGGTGAAATTGTAACCAAAGCTTTCCCTTACTGTGCATCATAATAAGGAACAAAGCAAAGTCCTTCTGTGTGTGTAGTCTTAGGCTTGAGGGACACTTCAGATAACAAAAATGAACATTTTATAGATGAACATGACATCCATCTGCACATCACAACTGTATATATTTTCTAAATTAGCTTGCACTTGAAGTGTAAAAGGTGTATATGTCACTGAGTATGGTTGTGTTTACAGAACGTAATTTTTTAAAAGCAAATCCAACCTTTTTCTGTAAATAGTAATGGCAACAGACCTCATGTTAATAGATAGATGTTGTTAAGTCCTTTTATATTATGGAATGTATCTATGACAACTGGCATTGTCCTGGACACATTGAATAGAAGCCTTTGTTCAGAGAAATTCAACTTCAGGTGAACTTTTCCTGAAGTCTGGCTCGTTTATTTCCTAGTGTTGATGGATGACACTACCTCATACAACACAGGGAATTCTCTGCTAGCAAACTTGCTCGGTCTTTCCTTGAAAACACAACACCTGTGTGGGCATCCATATGCTTTAATTGCAAATTGTTTACACGCCTTTCCTCTAGTTTCCAATTCCAGCAGGATTTACTTGGCAGTGGCGATGCCCTAGGAGCTGCCAGCTGCTGCAGCTTTGCTAATGTGAACTTCCCCATGGGGGCTTGGTGCTTTACCTGCTGGTAAATTTACCTGCTGGGATTCTCTGGGTGCAGCTACTGCATCCTCTCTCAAACACAAGAGAGATTTTGGTGCCCCGTTGATGAGGCAGGGTGCTGTTTTGACTGCAAAATAAGGTTGTTTGTCATGGCTGGGAGCCCTTGGGGATGTGTGGGGCACTCCCCTGCCCCTTCCCAGAAACAATGGACCAGTGTGCAGCTGACTCCCAGCTGGCCTTTGGGACTCCTCATCTGCCTCAGGAAGGTGAGTTTTGCTGCTTTATGAGAAGAGGCACCATCAGGGACTCTTGGTTCACCTTGCTCTGGTGGGCCCTGTGTTTCATCACTTTGAGAAGTGATAGTGTAGTAACAACTTTTTAAGGTTTGTGGGTGCTTCTTGGGTTTTTTTTTCCCTTTGGAGCCTCTGTGGCAGCTTACACTGCTGTAACAACCAACAGCTAGGACTCTACTTTTCCAAAGAGGTATTCAGACCTTGTAAAGAAGCAAAGGAGGTATTTTTTCTTCCCTGCTTTAAAAAAAACAACTCCAAAACCTCAGAAAGTTTAACTTCATATACATATATCCAAAACATCACTATTTGGCAAGAAACCATAACACTTTTTCCGACAGCCTATCTTCTTTTTCTGGTCTAACATTGCTAATTGAGTAGGTGAGCCAGGATGCCTTTGTAGGCCATGTGGCTGTGGGAGACCTCCCCTCTGATGATGCCCTGTCACCAGGAGCTGAGCTGCCTTACAGTTTGTACTATTTGGCAGGGAAATGACTACAGAGACACCATGCAGGGCAAAATCCAGCATGAAACAGGTTTTTCAAAGCAACTGCTAGATAATAAGGCAATTAAAGATGAGAGGTGCAACTGGCAGCCACTGTTCCAAGCTGCCATGTGCTGCAAGGTGAAAGGGACAGCAGAGAAAGGCAGAGGGAACAGTGACAAGTTAAGCAGCCCTGCCTTCTTGCACAAATCTGTTATTTTAGCTTTACACAGTGAGAGAAGTCACAAGGATGGATGTCTCTTTACCTCTCCCACTCTGCTTCTCTCCTGCTGCCTAACCCTATCTTACCTAATAGCTACAAGCCACAATCCACTTGGTAGATGTCAAGGAGAAGCAGTGGTTTAAGGTCAGGACCCTGTGCAGAAATCACACTGGCTCTGACTGTGAATCGACATGAAAAATGAACAGTTCACTAGCAAAGGCTGCTGCTGGGCAGGGCTCAGGCAGAACAATGGTGCCTAGCTGAGGTGACACACAGCACACATACTTCTTCTCATGCATCTCTCATGGGCTGTTTAGATGTTAGAGATCTGCTGTGCTAGAGAAGCCCCAGTGCAGTTACCCACCTACACCTGAATTTGTACAAATTGTCTGCAGACCAGAACTGATCCTCTCCATCCAAAAAAAAGGCAGTTTCTTTCAGTGGCCAAGATGGCCATGAGTGGCACAAAGGGCTTTGTGAAACAGAAATACTAACCCTTGCCTGCAGCATACTTGATGTTTCCTTCATTAAAGCCTACCTAGAGGAACATTTCCAACTTTGTCAAAGCAGGGAAACAGCTGTTCTTCAGCTGGACAGAGATTTCATACATGTGTTTTTAAAACCAGTTCACCCTGAGTCTGGCTTTAGCTGCAAACTCTTCAACAGGATCTGTGTAGCCACAAAGGAAAGCAGAGATTTGCACTAAGCAATGTACACTAAAAATCACTTGGAAGCAGCAGCAGAGAAAGCACCTGCAATGCTAGGAAATGGGAAGGTCACAAAAAACCAATCTGCCCTCTTTCTGACGTGTGTTTCATCCTGCAGGACTATGAGACCGGGAAGTAGCTCAGCAGTCAGATCAGTGGGACAGCTATCACCAACAGTGCTGGAGGGAAGGAAGGAGAACCACAATGAAGAAAAAAATCAGACACACAAATTACCACCACATAGCTTAATCTTTACTAATAAAGCCAAAGAACAAAACATCAGCATTTTTTCCCTCTTTTTCTGCCCACAGAGCATTTCCATTTTTAACACTACTGCTTTTTGCAACAGGTAGACTATTAAACACAGACAAAGCAAACCAGGGAATATTAAGACATTTTCTACATTTGTAGTTTGATGTCATTTCTGAAGTCAATGCCTTGGTGAAATGCACTTTTTCACCTTCACACCATATCTTTCCTTAAGGGGCCACCTAGATAATCGCAATGCTGTGACAAACAGAAAGGAGGAGCCATGGGGAAAGTCACAGCAGGAAGATGAGGCAGCTGTACTGTAAAGACACTTCCCAGCTCAATACATTTCCAGTCTTACTCAATTCCAAGAGGATTCTGCAGAGAAAGATGGTGCCAGGCCTCCCACCATGGCAGGAGGCTGGCTATGGTACAGAAGAGCAGGTAGCTGACTTGCTCATTATCTTGACAGGTACACTCCAGCATCTTGGGGATCTGCTCAGCATTCAGCTGTTCTGAGTGTGTATATATCTCTGTATTTTTAAAACTTGCAGGTTTTAATTCCCTTTAAACTCCAGCCAGCCAAACTTACCCCCCACAGGAGCCATTCCAAGCACAGTAGCCAAGGCCAATATACATATACTCACTGAATGAAAAACCTGCCAGCTGACCCCCTAAACAGTCCATACAACAAAGGCTTGGGGTTTGCCAGGGTGGCCAGTGTTTCCACGCAGCTCCTGTAAGTGTGGTGAGCCCTTTCCTTGTTAAGACACTCAACATGCTCTGCAGTCACAGTGGAGGGGAAGGAACAAAGAGGTGGGGTGGGGGGTGATGTGAAATAGGATCAGAGCTGGCATCTACCTCTTTTAGTATTTCTCTGAGACTTCCTGGGCAAGTTTTCCTTCCTGGTTTTTCTATGGGCAGGACCAGGATCCACAGGCTAAAGAAAGAAATAAAGAGTTAGCTCTTGGCCTTCTTGGTGCGGAGAAACCCCTCATCGAGGTGGTCTCTGCTGGTACACTGTGCACTGCCTCTGTGACCAGCTCTTCCTGTTCCTCACTGATCCCTCACATTAATAATTCTCTCTGTTCCTCACTTTCTGCTGCTCTGCTCCTGTTTTCTTCAGTTCAGCTGCTTGCCATGCAGCACTCCCCACTGCCTTTCAGCATTTTCCTCCATCCCTGGCTGCAGAAATGCAGCTGGGTTTGTTGCTCCCACATCACCTTCTGCCTTTGCCAGAGGCGTGGAAAAGTCCCTTGTGCTGCTCCCATGTTTTAATCCTACCTGACAGGCCAGCAGAGGAGTTGCTACACTGTGACAAGCTGTGTGCACTGACACTGCTGCTGTTGTCTGGCAGAACGGAATAGGGAAATTATTAACATCCCAGGGGATTTGGCAACAGACACTGAAACGTGCTAAAGGAAGTCACCTGCAAGGTGACAAATCAAGACAGATTTATGCAGAAGCAACAATGCATCTCCAAGCCTAACCACAGACACTGGCACTCAGCAGATGGCCCACAGGTCTAAGATATCCTGATGCATGCCCAAAAGGTCAAACTCTGCCATCTGTCACACTCACACCTGACAGAAGATACCAATTAAAATCAGCACCTGAATGACAGAGCACAAGGAGACCTGGGGGAGGATGACCACAGAGCCTGAGTGACTGGGACAGCACTACACTTTAGGTACTACCTGGACACATACGCCTGCGCTATGTTCCACTTTTCCCAAACCAATAGCCTGATACTTGGGAGCATCCAGAGGCAGATCTAGTATTTCACAACCCCACCACACTACAGGGGGAAACAAAGCACTAGCAGCAGCTAAGACTACAGGAAAAGAGCTTTTTCTGTGTGGATTTGAAGATGAAATATAGTTCAATTACAGCCACTAGCAATGGCTTCATATTGCTCAATAATCCTCCGCAGCCTCCAAAAGCAGCTGGTATTTATCACTCCTGTACGACTACATGGGAGGGGAGGGCCTGGAACAAATCACCACTTTGGTTCCACAGTAACAACCATCCTCTGAGCTACCTGCATGAGAAGATTGCCATGGCACCTTCCTTGCTCATCTGTATGTAAGAGGCTGCAGGACAGGTTTATTCCAAACTGAGGTCCAGGAAAGGAGAAGCAGTTACACTGTCCAGGCTCTGCTGTTGGTGGAAGAGGGAAGTTTGTCCAAGTGATTCCACCTGCAGTTTAAGCTTGTGGCATGCGATGGGCCTTTGCAGCAGTGGGAAGAAGCATCTCCACCCTCCTATAAGCACCTAACACACTAACCAGCTGCAGTATCAAAGGGAACCTCTCTTTCAGACTTGCAACAAGCCTCCTACAACAGCAGCAAAAGACAAGTCATATCCTTTTCAACCTGCTGAGTTTCTGAAAACAGAAGTGGCCTCATGGCTCTTCATCAAAACAGGCTGATCTACACCAGCTTAGCTTGTAAGGACTGTGGAGAAAAAGGCAGAAAATAAATGAACATAGAAACATTTTTCATCCCTTTTTAGAGCTGCCAGCACACCAGTGAAGCTGGGCACCGTCCTGCAGCAAACTCTCTCTGCAGGTAACCACGCTTTAGAAAGCAACACTGCTCTTGTGAGTCATGCACAAAGGTACAGGACAGAGATTCACACGGAGACCAGCTTTTGGCTAACAACAAAAGACTCAGATCAACACACAACACCAATAAACGTGCAGAGCATGGCAAAGACCTGAAGAAGACAAATACAACGGAAAAGAGAAAGTTCAAAACTTGACTTCTCTGGTCCTACA